CCACCCCCCAACTAGAGCTCGCCCCCCCCCTTCCTCACCCGAATCGCCTCTTTTCACAACCGCGGCTTTAAAAGAACGCCAAAAGGATCCCGGTCGACTCCCGCCTGCCCCCGAACCCCAAGAAGCCCACAGCGGCAGAGGGGATTTGAGTCTCTCCGGCAGAAGTCCGTGGGACTCGGATTGATAGCGGAGTCGCTGGATGTGTTCAGAAGTCCGCTCACGGCTCCAGCAAAATGAGCAAAAACAAAATGGTGAACTGGAGACATCCCCCCCCCCCCAATCGTTTCAAACCCCAGGCACGCAAACGAGCCTTTCCTTTCCTTAAGGGGGGGGGGGGGTTTGTCGTTACGAGGGAGGCTGAGGAAAGGGCATCCAGCCACAGCTAGCAGAGGCGACATTGCTCGCTCGCCCTGTCCCCGCGAGGAAGAACTCCGCCGGCATTCGTGCTCTGAAGCAGAGTGGGAAGTTTTTGAGCGGCGGCTTCAGAAAATCGCATTAAGGTATAGCGATTAAACCGCTCTACAGAGAGCAGGGCCGGGGGAAACGCAGCCTGAGCCGCCAGGTGAACCGGGGTCGGCAGAGGAAATACGCCTTCGGCCCGAGACCAAAACATCTATACATTTTTTAAAAACCCGAAATCTAAATGGTGCGACTCCCCCTTTTGTCCCCTCCCTCCCATTCGAGCGATAAGCCTTCACTTACTTCTTCCTTTCAGCACCAGGTGAGATGGTTCGGTGACTTCTTCTTCTTCTTCTTTCCAGGGTGTTTCTCGATGTCTTTTTTACAAAGTGCTGATGGGGTGGTGTTGGACGTTCGGTTTTTTAAAAATTATTTTAATTAAATAGATGCTGTTCGGATAACTTCTCCCCCTTCTATAGGCCCAATCAGAAGTGGGGTGGGGGGGGGATGTTTCCTGGGGCGCCCCCTACTTCCTTCTTCCTCTCCCTCCCCGGGGAACCTGAAGCCACCCTCTCCCTGGCCCAAAGTGAGCAAAGTAAATGAAAAGTTTCACCCTTAGCAACCCTGCGCAAGGATATTCTCTTCCACACCCAGGGTGACGCGTCCTGCAAAGGACAAGGAAGGGGGAAAGAGGAGGAGAGGGCAGGCGGGCCGGAACTACTTCCCCAAACGCCAGCTTCAGGTTAACCCGTCCTGTGCCGGGAGCTTCGAGTTCTAGATGCTTAGAAGAGCCAGCAGATAGGAATGCGCGTTTTCTGCCGAGATTTTTTACGTGCGTTTTAATTGATTCCCGCTCTTCGTGCTGGAGCTGTAGTGGTCCAACGTGAATATCTGCTGATAGTCAACAAAACTAGTACACCAGTGCTTCAGATAATAACCATCCTAACTGAGTTAGATCAAATGCAATTAAATGCGGAATAGACTTCCCCTACCGTCTTTAAATTAAATACGAATAGGATCGGGCAGCACAATATGTCGTGCTTCGTACACTTTCCCCTACCACTCTGTTTAATCTGCAAAAACTACCATCTCTTGGTTCCACAGTCACAATCAATAACGTGTGGTCATACAACTGGAGTTGCTAAAGGCTAGTTAAACAGTTGAAACCTCCATATATTTGGAATCCAATCTTTAACCTTTCAATCTTGTAACTAACATTATAAAATAAGAAATAAATAACTCTATTTATTTATTTATTAAATCTGTATCCCGCCCTCCCTGCCATGGCAGGCTCAGGGCGGCTTACAGAATATATATAAATATATATATTAAAATACCGGAATATGTAAAAACACAGAATTAAATTAAAATCATAGCATATAAGTAGGGAAGCAAGAAACCATGCTGTCTGATTGAATTTTCTATATTTTGACATTCATCTTGAGACTCACTGAGATGGGCTATCAGTGAAGTAAATTGATTCCCAATGGATTAATAGAGGGTACAAATCAAAGTCCTAAGAGCCATAAGATCTCGGGCAGGCAGATTACTTGGAAGTAAATCCCACTGAGCTGTTTACTCCCAAACAACCATGCATGGGTTTGTAACCTTAAAATGAAGATACTTAGAATCTCTTACATTCAAAATAGATCCTGCAGATACCTATGGATAATGCTTGTATATCTTGTTAAATCCACAAAAAGTTACACTGCAACTAAACTGAATTGTCATCTCCTCCCCACCTTTCTACTGTAGAGTTCTCCCAGCTTTTTTGTCCTTGACTGTGCGTGTGTATTTGTGGTACAGATAAAGTGTTTGTTCAGATTTAAAAAAAAACAGCATGCCAGAGAGATAACAAAATTATTAATTTCAAGCTGTGGTCCTAAATGTGTTCAGGGTGGCTTTGAGGATGAAGAGTGCCAAGTTCTTATTCTACAATGGGGCTCACTATTTCTAAATGCATTACTCAAGTCTAGGGATTCATTCAAAGCTCTTAATGCAGTTTCTCTCTTAATATGATTTAATCATCATTTTAGTCAAAACTAAGTTGTAACTAAGTTGAGTTGTGACACTCTTCTAACCTATAAAAACAGTGGCTAGGAGAACTGAACCAGATGGCTTAATGAAACTATGGAAGTGTTTATGTGAGCAGATTGGGTGAATTGAGGATTAGGGTTAGAATGTTGTTGTTCCATCTCATCTGTTCAGTCAGATCCCCGTATCTGTTTATTTATACTATATGTACCTCTCGAAGGAGAAGATTATGATGGAATAAATTTTATTAGCCTTTAGTTGTCATCGGACTTCTGTTTCATTTTAGCAGACTCTTGTTTTTTACAGACTATCACAGATATCCATCTGGAATTTTCTTCATCTTAAATATGGTCCATTTTGATGGGTGTGTATTAGGGTTGCCAACTCCTGCTTGAGAAATACCAGGATACTTGGGGGTGGAACCTGGGGAGGGACCTCAGCAGGGTATAATGCGCTAGACTTTACCCTCCAAAGTAGCCATTTTCTCCCGGGAAACTGATCTCTGTAGTCTGTAGTTGAACTGTAATTCTGGGGGAATCCCCAGGTCCCACCTAGAGGCTGGCATGCCTAGTGTGTGTAGACATAACAAATAACTGATTTGATGTTCAGGCATGTTCTATAAGCACCAATAAACGCCATGCAGCCTACCCTCACCCCTTGTCATACAGTGTGTCAATATAAAAGATGGAAGGAGGGGTTATTAAACTCCATGCAGGTAGCACCACAAACCATGTAAACTGTAAGAGCAACCATATTGAAGGGAATGGGGCAATTGTTTCAGCCACCTTTTCCTGGGGGGGTCTTAATAATGTACTTCTCAGATCACCTTAGCAAACATACCAGGGGACACTCTCCAAAGCAGGGCTGGCTAGATTATCTTGCCTAGTTATGGGGCCTTCAGACATGGGGGAGGGAGTCCCTTGGATGTTCCTAACTGGACCATAGTTGAAACCCCGCTAAAATTGGCTTGTCAACGCAGGAGAGAGGAGGTTTGGAGCCCACACCAAAGGATATGCTTTAAAAATGGCTGCGAACAGCTGTTAATTTCTAAAAAAGAGAGAGGTTGCTAGGAAACCAGGGTCTGCGCTTTGGATTCCTGTGGCACTTTAAAGATGATCTAATTTTTGATGGCATAAACTTCCTTAAACGGCTCCTTTAAGAAGCCTGAAGAGGAATGGAAGTTGGAGCCCCTTCAGAGGGGAGAACTCAGTGGCAAGAAAGGGGCGGGATAAGCATTCTCTAGGGAGCCCGATTTATTATTGCTATGGCTTTTTGGTTGCATTCTTTTCACGGCCCTTTGCATCTCCAGGGCTTGAATCGTATCTGTAGTAGTTGAAATCCAGCCCCCCGCCGTGTAAGTGTGTTCCATAGTTCGAGTTTAGGCTTTAACCCGTGGTTTAAAAACAGAACATTTGGATCTAAATTAAAATTAGGAGTTGTTGGGGGTTTTGCCCTGTTGGTTGAACGACGAGTCTAATTTTTGCTTTACTTTGACCACACAGTTTACCAAGTGCACGCTCGAGCTGACCATTAGGTTGAGATTTTAGTATAGTATATAAAGATTTTTGTGGCGCTGAGTTTGCGCCATCAGATCTTATGGCTTGTTTTCTTACGCGACCAGCCGGCTTAATAGAAACGCACGTATTTTTCCAGTTTATTTCCATACCTCAAATGCTAGAAGGTATGTAAATCGGCTCGCATCCCCTAAACAAAACCCCACAAGGCACGGATGTCAGATGGCATTTTAACTATTCATTGGGTACATTTCCCTCCTCTGAATTGCAGCTACCACTCCGCACAATTTAGGGACTACTTTTTCAGCAGTGCGCCTGTGCAATGCTTTCATCGACGTAACTTCAGACGCAACGACTGACATAGGCATCACAACCTGCAAGGTGTAGAAACGCAAGCGAGTCTAAAAATAACACCATTAGGCTAGCAACAGTCTTCCCATTGGATGAAGATGTCCGAGGGCTCAAAAGATTGGTTTATTACATTAACCAATAAGCAGAAAGGGGTGTGTAAGAGGCGGGTGAGAACTTGTGCAATTATTAAAAGGCTGATGGGAAATGTAGTTTTTATTGCAAGGATCTTTAGGCCATAGGGCGCTATATTAATATTTCAGTAATGTGGGTCAAAAGTTTGGAAATGCGGTATTCGTAAAAAGGGACATATTTCAGGTGCTCACGCGCGGAACCGTTTTAAATCCCCCCCCCCCAAGAGGTGGCAAGGAATGGATGCATAGATTTAGTCCATCTGATGCATAGATTTAGTCCATCTGATCAACACCCTCTTTTCCCCTGGTTGTAGAACACACGGGATGAAACGATCAGTCTGAGGCTGCTTTAGGTGAACAGCTTAGGATCATGCGGTATAAAGGTTGTCTCTGCTTTATTGTATTTCTTTCTGGGCTGTTTCTTTGATACCACTACTTTGCAAGCATGCATGCAATAGAGTACTCGCCTTAAGTAAGTCTGTTACTTATTAGAAGTAAATATATAATATTTGCAGAAAAAGTTCCTGATATACAAAACAATGAAAGAATAGTTTTACTAATTACTGTAACAGCTCTGTCCGAACTGTGCTTACTCAACAGCTTTACTTGTTTCAATTAAGGCATATTATTGGAAGCAACATAGTATTGGTACAATCCTAAAACACACATCCTCCTGTGAGACAGCTTCCAAATCGGTTCACCCTAGGGTTGCCAGATCTGGGTTGGAAAATACCTGAAGACTTTGGGGGTGGATCCAGGAGATGGTGGGGTTTGGGGAGGGGCCTCAGCATGGTACAATGCCATAGAGTCCATCCTTCAAAGCAGCCATTTTCTCCAGGGGAACTCATCTCTGTCAGCTGGAAATCAGTTGTAAAAGCCAGAGATCTCCAGGCCCCACCTGGATGCTGGCAACCCTAGTTCACCCCACTGAAAGCATCTCATGCAGGATTTATTAAAATGTATGGAAGCATAATTACTGCATATATTAAGAACGGTTTTACATGTTTTAAATCTGATCTCATCACCCACTGTGCTGCACAACTCCTGTTAAATCAATGGAACTTGTGAAGTTTCCTGTGCACAGCAGGAGGGCTTGGAAATGAGCAAACCTGCTACTCCAGACAACAGAACTACAGCACGAAGGCACCCACAAACTAGAGTGACCTCAATGGGAATATTTATGTCTTGGTCCTGCAAATCCAAGTTCCAATCCAGTTATCCTGCTCTAGAGAGTGAATAATCAAGAAGGCTTTAAAAACAAAATGATAGCCCAGCACCCAGCTCCAATAAACAGAGATTAAAGAGTTCCATGGGACTAAACTGGTTTAAGTTCTGGCATTTTCATTTAAGTGGACTGCATACTCAACTATTTATTTATTACAATCTAGACACTCCTATAATAATGGTATATCCTTTTGTTGGGATCTCCTGTTCCTACCTGCATACCTGCCCGCTTGGAGATATCAGCTTCGGAGACTGCTCTGTGTGCCTGCCTGCACATGGTAAAGTGAAGTGGGTATGTACCA